GACAAAGCAGCCAGCTTGACTGCCACTACATCTGCAAGCATTGACTCCCTCCACCACCGATGCTCAGAGGCAGCATTGTGTACTATTTACAAGATGCACTGCAGAATTTCAAAGATCCTTAGGCAGCACCTTCCAAACCTACGACCACTTACATCTAGAAGGACAAGGGCAGCAGACATATGGGAACACTACCACCTCCAAGCCCCACACCATCCTGACTTGGAAATATATCGTCGTTCCCTCACTGTTGCTGGGTCAAAATCGTGGAATTCCCATATATACTGGCATTGTGGGTCAACCTACAGCTGGTGGACTGCAGCAGTTCAAGAAGGTAGCTCACCACCCACACCCTCTCAAGGGCAACTAAGGGATGGGCAAGGAATGCTAGCCAGCCAGTGACACCCACATCCCACAAATGAATAGAAGAAAAAAATCCAACAAGTTCAGTTAATTGGTCATTTCTGGTTTTGAGTTCTACAGCTGTTTTCTTCAGAGCCTCCAGAAGGATAATGTTTATTTTCAATTTTTATTTGGCACTGGAATTGTGAAGGTGGAATACACCGGATATTGTTTTAGAGGGATTCAATAATGAGACTCTGTGCTGCATTACTGTGTAAAGTTCAGAAAATAAGGATCTGGTCCAGGGTGTAGAAATATGGAGCTTGGGTGATGCAACACGTCATAAACACAAACTTCAAAAAGATGTGATTGTTGACAGGTCATTTGTATACATGTTGAACAGTGTTGGGGGTAGCACTTAGCCATGTCCTAGTCTGTTAGTCATTCTCCTTTGTCCAAAGTGGAAACCAACTGTTAGCAACAGGTAAGACATTGAATCAAGGTTCTCTCTATCCTCTTGGCTGGATGCAAAGCAACCTTTTACATTGCATTAAGTGGATTTGAGGATTTCTCTAAACTAGAGACGTACAAAGCATGAATCACTCAAACCTCTTCTTTACAAATAATAATAACAAAAGCAACTATCTTAGCTACAACATTCAAGTTTCATTAGAACGGGAGGCTTTTTTTTTTTTTAAAATTCATTCACAGGATGTGGACGTTGCCGGCAAGGTACAACAGGTACTGCAAATCGGATTGCCTTTGAAATCACAACTGTAATTGTATTAATGATGCCACCCAATATACCATTTGAAGACATCAAGTATGGTGGGTTAAACTTTGAATATTCTACATTGACGAAATTACGACAGAATTAGGCCACTTGGTCCGTTGTGTTGAACCCAGCTCTGAATAATCATTTTATTCAATGCCATTCTGTCATCATCTACCAGGAACCTAGCCACCCTCTACCACACTCAAACTGCATTCCAGACCCCAACAAGGCACTGCATGAAAAAGTCTCTCTCACACCACTTGTTTCTTTTATTAGTTACTTTAAAATCTGTACCTTATTGTAAATCCTTTCGTGAAGGGAATGGTTTCTCCCTATATACACTGCCCAGACCACCCATGATTTTAACACAATCAGCTCTCCTCTCAAAATTGCTTTTAAACAAAAAAAAAAAAAGGGGAACAAGTCCTAAACTTTTCAGATCTATCTTCAAAGCCACATGGACCTTAGGTCTAAAGTATCTATATGCCAGATACAAATCAAAGGTTTGATCAATTAATTAACTTCCATCTTGATGCCACTTCGTTGAAAACCTTATAAAATATCCAGCAAAATAAAAGCAGAGATTTTGAGCCTTACAATTTTAAACAAAGCCACAACTTCGCCAGGTTTCTCAGAAGTATCCTTGGCCCAACTGTCTCAGCTACTTCCCTCAGGTGCAGATGTTTGCTAAGGATAGTGCCACATTGAGCATCACTGGAACTCCTCAGATACTGAAGCAGTCAGAGAGATATACAGCACAAAAACATACCCTACAGTCCAACTCATCCAAGCAGACTAGATATCCTAAATTCATTTAGTCCCATTTGCCAGCATTTGGCCTATATCCCTTTAAACTCTTCCGATTCATTTACCCATCCAGACGCTTTCAATTGTTGTAATTGTACCCATCTCCACCACTTCCTCTGGCAGTTCATTCCATACACACACCACCCCCTGCACAAAAAAGTTGCCTCTCAGGTCCCTGTTAAATCTTTCCCCTCTCTCCTTAAACCTATGCTCTCCAGTTTTGGACTCCCGTACCCTGGGGAAAAGGCTTTAGCTATTCACTCTATCCAGGCCCCTCGTGATTTTATAAACCACTATAAAAGGTCACTCCTCAGCCTCCAACTCTCCAAGGAAAATAGCCCCAGCCTATTTCCGAGGAAGGGTCACCGGACCCAAAACGTTAACTTTTTTCCTTCAGATGCTGCCAGACCTGCTGAGCTTTTCCAGCAACTTTGTTTTTGTCCCAACCTATTCAGCCTCTCCCTATAGCACAAACCCTCCAACCCTGGCAACATCATTGTACACCTTTGCTGAATCCTTTCAAGTTTCACAACATCTTTCCAACAGTCCATGTCCAAACACAGCAAAACCTGGACAATATTCTGGTTCAGGCTGACAAGTTGCATGTAACATACACAAGTGCCAGACAATGACCATCTCCAAAAGAAAATCTAACTATTATATATTCAATGGCATTACTGAAACCCCTACAGCCAACATTGAGGGTTATCATTGACTAGAACCTGAACTGGACCAGCCATAAATATGACAAAGGCCACAAGCAGCGCTCCCACTAATTTTCTTTTCTGCATGGATGTCTGAGGACCACACACACACCAAAGACTTCTGGAAGCAGAAGTTTCTAGAAGCACCACTTCTAGAGCTTAGAAGGAATGCTGGATACAATAACAGATCAGAGGCCAGGAATTCTGCAGTGAGCAACTCCCCTCTCAACTCCGCAAAGCCTGTTCATTCTTTACAAGGAAGGGAGTGCAACAGAATACTCCTTACACGCTTGATGCGCACAGCTCTAACAATAGTCAAGACAACTGGCACCTTCCAGGACCAAGCAGCCCACTCAGTTAACACTCTATTTAACACCTTTAATAACAACCTTTAAAAACAAACAAACAGTCACTCCCTCCACCAGTGTGACAGCAGTATGTAAAACTAAGGTGAAGTTGCCATTGTCCTGTGGGACCACAGTGCCACTCAGTAGAGAGAGACAACAGATAGTGAATTAACCAGAGGGTCACTACATCTCAGTCAAGGGGAAGATTGAGCAAAAGAATCCTTCATGGTAACCTCAGCCAGTGTGGAAATTGAACCCATACTGTTGGTGCCACTGTGCATTGTAAACCAGTCAGACAACTCCTCACAAAGGCTCCTTCGACTGCATCTTCCAAAACCCACAATTCTATCACCTAGAAGACATGGGAACATCATCGGAATCCCTCGCAGACAAGGATGACTCGCTTCCACTCTCAGGAGGAATCCACAGGTGCCTATACAGACCGGTGCAGCTTCCACAGGCTCTGTTAAACTTGGGGCAGGTGGTGGGCATGGGAAGGGGTAGATGGGCAATGGTGTGGCAGCATGCTCCTTATGCTGTTTTCACCTGGCTTCCGCTTTTTCCCCGACTGAGGTGCTCGATGCCTTTTGACGTTATGATGTGGAGGTGCCAGTGTTGGACTGGCGTGGACAAGGTCAAAAATCACACGACACCAGGTTATAGTCCAACACGATTATTTGAAGACACAAGCTTTCCGAGACTCACACCTGAAGGAGCAAGACGAAAGCTTGTGTCTTCAAATAATCCTGTTGGACTATAACCTGGTGGTGTGTGATTTTTAACCTTCCCAGATGCTGCAGACTATCACCTAGAAGACATGGGAACACGACCTGCAAGTTCCCCTCCAAAACACACATACTATCCTAACTTGGAACTATATCACCATTCCTTCAATGTCACTGCAACTCATTCCCTAACGGCTCCGTGGGTGTACCTACATTACAAACTGCAGCAGCTACAAACTACATTACAAACTGCAGGTAGCACACCAAAGGAATTAGGCATGGGCAATAACAGCAACACCCGTATCCTGTGAACAAATAAATAAGGAAGTAATGTTGGCTAAGATAATTAACAACTGACAAACGAAAATAATCAACAGCAATTTGTTTAAGTTGTCCACTGACAGCAGATAATATTGAACATGTTGGAATTCATAAGCAAGTCACTGAATCGAGAGGCTAAGTTCACAATAACTGAATGAGGTAAATGGCTTACATTTGTGGAGACACCTATCCATTGCATTCTACATAATTTATTCCATGAGACAGAGAGAGACACACACACACACAGACAACGTCCGATATTCCTCACCAATCCCAAACTGCACATATCATGAACATCACTGCTTAAAAATAGATTGTAAGATACTTGAACAAATCAAGACACTTTTTAAATAAAGTCACGGTTCATATTATGTAAACTTTGGAAAAGTTTTTGCACTGTGCATTACCAGCAAATATGCAGACATTAGAGAATTATGCGCGGTACACTCTTCTACAAGAGGTGTCGGCTTCACTAAAACGCAACTGTAAGCCTGAATACATGCTCTATTTTATTCCATGAAAAAGCTGACCCAGTAAAAACTCCTGTGAGACCTCACCACTGTTTTCCAGTCAAATCAAGGAGTCTCCAACTTCCTCGCATTATAATAATAACCTAGATCAGAGAAAAATATGAAACAGCTCATTGAAAACGAGGTAACACAGACCCCCACAGCATGCGTAACGCGATCATGTCAAGAACTACTACTGCATGTACGACACCACACTAATATTTATTACTCTTCCTGCTGTTCCTGACCTCATTTAAAGACACACAGAGAGAAAAAGCGCTGCAAAGCTGGAAGCTTTCTCATGCCAGGCCTTCGGGCATAGTTTAAACTGTTGTTAAAGGAATAAACAGCCACCGCGCCCTGTCGGCAGGTTCCCCTCAAGCCTTCAGTAGCATGAGACTCAGCCCCAAGATTCCTCCTTCTGGCTTTTAAAATTAATTTCAAAAACCGTGAAAAGGTGTAAAAAGACTGACCTCTGGTGAAACGTAAGATACAAATGAGGGTTTCGCCGTTTTTCCACCTCCCGAGCCTAAGCTAAGCATTTTGTGCGTGGTTATTTTCCGGGTTACTTTGTTGCTGTTTGCTCAGGTGCTGCTACCACTGATTGAACTTGGCTCAGCCACAAGCCCCGCCTCCTGCTCCCTCTGATTGGCTTCGCGTTCGCGATCAACATTCCGTTTCCGAACAGTCCCGGGCTCCGCAACCCCTGATTGGTTAGTCTCTGTGTCAATCACCGCCCGCCACACCGCTTGGTCATTCCTTCCCCCTCTCGCATTCAGCTCTCCATTTAAGGACTTAGAAACCAGCGGCCCCTCGACTTATTGGTCGGCTAAAATGCCAATCGCTATTGGCTGTGTACAACATCGCTTTCTTTCCCGGAAAGAAAAGATTTGGAGGTGGCTTGAAAAGTTTTTTTCAAATCTCATTGCTGCATTTACATTGCAGCTTCGAGTGAGTGCATAACCATTGAACACTCGCAGCGAGCTAGGACAGATAGATAGCCGCACAGTTAAATAGATCTGGAGACAGCAATGCCGGCCAATGTCTGTGCCGCATCTGGAATTGTATTCCGCACAATGAATGAAAGACTGAGCGCCTTTTCGCGACTTGGTGTAGTGCGGGGACAGGTTAGACAAAAGGGGCAAGTCCGGGAAGGCATGTAAACGCCAGCAGAAGAACACTACACTGCAGGAGTTTAGGAACCAGAAACCAGTGTAGATCAGCGAGTGCAAGGGTGATAAGTGCAAGTGAAACATTTGCATTTTATAAAATTAAAAATAGCAAATGCTGGAGAAACTCAGCAGACCTGGCAGTATCTGTGAGAGAGAAACAGTCAATGTTTCGAGTACAAAGACTTCTTCAGCACGATCTGCTTTTTTTCGAGATATCCAGCTTCTGCAGCACTTTGCTTTTACTTGCATTTTTAAAGCTCCTTTCGTGACCAGGTTGTTCCAAAGCGCATTCCAACCAATCAAGTGCTTTGCAAGTCTCCACTCGCTTGTTGTGACGCGTGAACCGCGGCAGTCAAACTCCCAGAAAATTCCCACGAACCGCGATGTGATGACGATCAGTCCTTCTGTTTCTGAGTTATTTTAATGATTTGTTTAGTGAATAAAAATTGGCCCGGAGTATGGGCATCTGAATACGAATGTGTTAAATAACTTTGCACCATTCAAATTATTTCTTGTTTGATTAGGATTTCACTTTTCATCACTCATTTTACGTATATCTGCCTGTTTAACTTGCCCACATCTTCTTCCCCGAATGGTTTCAATGACGATTCTTTGTTTCAGAGCCTCAAGTTTAAAACTGGGCATGGAACTCAAAACAGGAAGGAAAATTAATCAAAAGCTGTTATCAAAGAACAAGGGAAAGACGTTAGTAAAATGGAAGTTGGTCTGGCATGAATATGATGCTAAAACCTTGATGTACGTGTATTGCGCAAATCTCATCACTTTAAAATAACGATCCAGAAATTGTGGCAGTTGTAAACTGTGAGAGCTCATCATTGATGCATGTATTATCCATGCATTCACTGTTAATTACAAAAACCTAGAAATTGCTGACAGTGAGACCTGTTGCTATGGAATGATGGATGAAATATTGGATTGAATATTGAATACCCATGGATTGAATATCACACTATTCACCTGCAAAAACTTATGAATATATCAAATCTTGTTCAGTCATAGAATGGTAAAAGCTTGGAATTGATGGATGTTTGATGACCAGTTTGGACTTGATAGGCTGAAGGCTCTCTTTCTGTAAAAACTCTATGACTGTACTGGAAGGACAGTCAGCCCACCATGTCTGTGCTGACATTCTAAGTTAAAAACTACCTAATCCCACAACCTGCCTTCTCTCACATAGCCCTTCACATTCTACCTTTTATAATCATCATCCAATCCCTTCTTGAATGCCGAAATTGACTGTGAATCTGCCATAATCCCCAGCAGATCTTAACCACTCAATGTGTGAAAAACAATTTTCCTCATTTTGCGATTCCTTCTTTTCCCAGTGGTTATTGATCATTCCATCAATAGAAAAAGCTACTCCCTATTGACTCTATGCAGACCCACTGTGATTTTAAAAACTTCAAATCTCCCATAACATTCTTTTCTCCAAAGAAAACAGTCCCAACATGTCCATATAACCAAAATTCCCATTTTCTGGAGCCATTGTTGTGGATCTTATCTGCACCCTCTGTAATGCAGTAACAATGAGGACTGGCTGAGAGTTTAAAAACATACTAAATTATCATTACAGAGTAACCTGGCAGGCCATAAAAATCTAATTTCACAAGGATAGCTTTTCATTCCCGCAGAATAACTTTTAGAGGTTGTAGATTCTTTGTACAATCTAAAGACCTACTGATCTCTATGGGCAGCTTCGTTTGAGGTCAACAGTGAACATCATTCCTTCAGCTCTAACTTCAAAACCAATATTTCAATAGGCTAATATTTCTGACAGTTGTCATAAGGACCAAAATATTAGTACAGAGCCATCTGAATGGCAGGATTTGGAACAACATGAGGTGGAGATTATCACACAGGATCAGCCTTTGCTTTTGAAGCTCTGGCATTTAACAGAAATTTCAGTATTTCCTGTAGGATAACAAGTGCTATATATTGGCATGTTTAAACAGGATGTTTCAATAGACAGAGCTTGCCTTACGACTTTACAAAGCATTTTGAAATGGAATGTTGTGACCCACTGTACAATTTCATTATATAATTGATACAATGGGCTGATTTTTTTAGTAGATGCTGGTTTGAAGGTGGATGTACTGACAATTTCCCACTACCAGCGAATTTGCCAGTCTATCACCTTTGTTTCATCTTCACTATGCTAGTTTCTGAAGTGACAACTACCTGCCCAATAATACTGGTTATCTAATCAAGCCTATTAAAGTGACAATTGAGGGCACCCTCATAAAATATAAGAGCAGATGGAGGCCATTCAGCCCATCTCACCCTTCTTATGCCATGATTAATGCTGATGACGTGGATGATGGGTGGACATGGTCACTGAAGACAATAGATGCAGGTGGCCACCTCATAGCAACAGGCGAAGTGAGCCAGAGGAACTTCAGTCAAAGCAACTAGCATGGATTTGCTGGGCTGTGAGGGCCACAGACAAAGGGTTCCCAATCCACAATATTAGCCAATATCAGTGGCCACAGAATAATTTGTACAATTTACAAGTCTTCAGAGGGCAAACCAACATGGTTTTACAATAGATAAATCTTGAATCACAAATTTAGTAGAGCTTTTTGAGTATGCAACTAAGAGGGCAAATTAAAGGAAACCAGTTCTTTGTATTTAGATTTCTTAAAGACTTTTGATAAGGTGGCACATAAAAAGTTAATAGGCAGGACAACAGATCATGGAGTTGGGGTTAATATCATAGCTTTGATAGGAAATGTGTTAATAGGCAAGAAATGATGAGTGGCTCTAAACATGGCATTTTCAGATTGGTTTGTTACGACTAGTATCAGAGCTGGGCCTCAGCTATTTATGATTTATATTGATGATTTAAATGAAGATACAGAGAATAATGAATTTAGATTTGCTAATGATATAAAGCTAAGTGAACAGATAAGCTATGTGGAGGGTGTAGATAGGTTGTAAAGTGAGTAGGAAAAAGAAGGTAGATGAAGTATAACGTGGGGAGGTGGGAAGTCACTCACAGAATATTTTTAAAATGTATTAAATTTGTGAACATTTATGTTCAAAAAGAGTTCAATGTGTACAAAGATCCCAGAATTTTTTTTTAAAGTCAATCTATTTGGACATGTTAGTGCACAACTCCATGCCAGGAAGACTTGAACTTTGACCTTCTGGCCCAACAGTAGGGACACTCCCACTGTGCCACAAGACCCCTTTTTAGAAATACAGGGTATTAGCAAACAGTAATAGCAAACAATTGGGAAGCAAAGAGCATGTTGACATTTATGACAAAGGGATTGGAGTACAGGAATTGAGAAGTCTTGCTGCAGTTGTGCAGGGCTTTGGTGGGACAGTATATAGAATAGTGCATGCAGTTTTGGTCTCTATATTTAAGGAAGGATATACTTCCATTGGAGATACAGCAAAGATCCACTAAATTAGTCCTGGGGTGAGGGTATTGTCCTATGTTATAATCTCAGCTGATGGTAATATTGGCCAGTGAAGCTTGGCTTGGTAGACAATAAGTTTTATTTTTTTGTTACCATGGCCATCACTCACTGAATATATTCATATGAGGCTGCCAATGTTCTTTTTAAATAACATGAAAGGACACAAACTATTTTATACTCTGTAAGAACTATGTCAAACAATATATTTACAAGTATCAGAAGTAAAGATTTAACCCTTTCCCCTCAACAGCAATCTTTTCAGACAATCAGCTCCAGTGAAGTATCTCTCCTGTTTTCATTACTTAGTTTCTTAAACAACTGATGAGGTCACAAGTGTTTCCTTTCGATTAATTTCTGTTTATTTACCAGGGGTGATTCTCTCCATCTCTTCCCTTCAGAGAGTGGCACAGTGGCTCACTGGTCAGCACTGCTGCCTCACAGTGCCAGGAACCTGGGTTTGATTCCACCCTTGGGTGACAATCTGTGTGGAGTGTGCACATTTTCCGTGTGTCTGCATGGATTTCCTCTGGTTTCCTCCCACAGTCTGAAGGTGCATAGCGTCCAGAGATGTGCAGGCTAGGTGGGTTGGCCATGGGAAAAACAGGGTTACAGGGATAGGATAGGTGGGCGGGATGCTTTTCAAAGGGTCAGTATGGGCCGAATGACCTGCTTCTGCACTGTAGGGATTCTCTGATTCTATGAAGACACAGGTACAGGCTAACAACTCATTGACCTGTGTCGTTTAACATTAGGGAAAAACACTCATGCTTTTTCAAGTTGCTTGACTACTTTGAGGCTGCTAAACAGCACATCGGCTGGTATGTATTTTTTTCATTTAACCACAGCTGCATTTGGCTTCTGCTCTCTTTTTCTCTGGGTCTTAAAAGATCAACTTAGTAAATGCTTCAGTAATTATCTCACCAGGTGACTTATCTGGTCGTATGGCTTATGGCGCATGATTTCCAGGAAATGCTATTTTGTTCCAATGCTAAAAATGAGTTTCTTACCATTTTAAATAAAACATCTTTACAGAATTAAAAACTTCTAAATTATAACCCAATGTCCCAAATTATAAAAATATATTACAAACTGCCATTATGTTTATGATAACAGGTTGAGTCACTTGAG